ATTGAAAAGTTCCGTCCGAATTGTTTTATTGCACGTGCTCATTTTTCTTCAATTTTTTGGTTAATTGGTGGATGAATTGTGTCCGAGATTTTGTGATGGAATTCGTGTATTCGAAGTTTGAATTGTTTGTGTGCATAAACAGAAGGAAAATAGAAGAAAATAGGGACTTTTCTCGCCAAAATTTTGAACGGTTGGGACGTTATTCGCAAATTTTTTAAAAGATAGGGACGTTTATTACCAATTCATTTTAAAGGTAGGGTCATTTTCAGAAAAATTATAACGTAGGGATTATTATCACAAGGTTAATTCAATTCTTAGACGAAGTGAATAGCACCAGTTCATCTTCTCCATTGAGGCAAAATGGGTCATTCACCATTGAATTGTAATATGTACTTCACAGTACCCATTTCCACTCGTTCTTCTCAATTTACTCAGTGGGTTTCACTCTTAATAAGCATAAACCGGAAGTGAACATCCGATATTAATCTTTATAAATTGACCACCCATTCAATATATGTGTTTCTAAATTTTTCCAGTAACCCAACATGACATCAGAAGTAGTTGTGAAATTTTCGAAATATAATGTTGTTCACGACATTTTTTCTTTATTTAACGTAATCATTTAAAGTGTTTTATATTCATATTGTTGCTACTATTACTTTTGTATTAAGTTGATGGGGGGAAGAAGGGGTGAAATGGGTAAAGACAATTTTACCTTTGTTCATTGAAAGAAAAAGGCGTTTTTGTATTTAATTAACGGAGAGAATGTAGACGGAAGGATGTCCAGCACAAAGAAAAGTTGAAATAAGGGCAAAAAAATGCTAAAAAAATGAAAGGTATGGACGTTTTTCACAATAGACTTGAAAGATAGAGACGTTTTGTGTCAATTATCCAATATTAAAATTATGTTCTGGAAGTGGTTATGAATGATTTATATTTTAAATAGATAGAAATAAGTGGGCACTATATTTGAACATTTTGTGGCAAAAAGTGATTTGATATACATGAGCCAAACATAGACTTAAAAAGAAAAAAAAAAAAAGAAAAAAAAAAGATCTATTTAGTACTACTTATCATCGCGCTTACAAATTTTTTTGTCGACAAAATGGATATCATAGGGATACATTATTAAAGAAGAAAAAAATGCTATAATTTTATCTACTGTGTGATTGCACTTTGCTTATGTTTGATCTTTACTTCTTAATATTAATTTTTTATCATACTTTTTAGGGATCCACAACTTTTATCAACTTTTTAAACTTAAATTTGATCAACTTTTATTAAAATTTACTAAAAATCTAATTTTATCGTCACTAAATGGGGGCATAATATGATTATTAATATTTCGTAGAATAGTAAGTCTCATAATTATAGCTAACATGATGATTAATCTTTATATTTGTCTTCCTTGGCTGACTAAGTTCACCATGAACAAACTCAGGTTGCCAGCTGACAAGTTGTGCTTTGCAACAAGAATTATACCATTTGGCCAAAGACTTGTCACTGTTGATGTGATCGAGAGTAACATAATAATATGTACTTTTGTTGGCCAAACATGTAGAAAAGAGTTGGTCCATACTTGTACAACAAAAATGATGAAACGATTCGATCTGATATCCTTAACTTGGTCAAATCATTTCTTGTAGGAAAATGCTTTTTTCCTAGGAACTAACCAATAGATAAGTGAAAAGGACAAGATGTTGCAGCAAATTTTTACAAGGGAAGAAACTAGAATGTTAAAAGGAAATTAGATCATCACTTTAATGACACGTCTAGTACACAATATTAATAACAACCCCGAACATAATTTTAACTTTATTTACCTTTTTAGTTACCTTCGTTGATGTCAATTTCAAAGTTTCGGAGTTTAAGGAGTTTTTACTTTTAAGCTGTATTTTAACTAATTTTTTAGAATTGAATCAAAAGTTGCCACGATCATTTATAAAATTAGTGCTTCTATCATGCTTTTTAATAAAAAAAAAAAAAAAAAAATTCCATATACACGAGAAATGATATGTTGATGATAAAATTTAAGTAAATATATGTGATCTCTCTATTAATTTAAGCTTTGAAATGAGATGTCAAAATTCAAAAAGTTCAAATGTGCATTTTGATTTTTAAAACTCATCTGAGTGCAAAATTTCAAGATTACCCTTCTCTAATGATCTATCTTGCTATGAGATGTTAAAGTCAAAATTTCAAATCGCCTAAATACAAAAATAACAATCAATATGTAAGAATATGAATTAATTATTCCTCTAAACAAGATGGATTGAACCGAAAAAAGACGTGGCTGTACTCTTTTTATTCAATCAAGTTTTTAAGAAACTTGCTAATATTTGTCTAGTTATCTTTATAGTTCTATTTACCTATGTCTTGCTAATTAATCATTCCATACCTAGCCTACAGAACTGATGCATCTTTGTAAGATTTTGGCAGATTGAAATCCACTGAAATAAACTCTAGACGAGCTTAATTATTTAAGAACTAATTAAAAATGATTTGTTTTTTACTTAGTTAAATTACTACCATCTCGAACACGAACCAATCCCAGCTGTTAGATAAGTAATTTTTCGAGCTTAAAATTACTTTTGCCACATTTTCTTGTATATATGTGCGTGTGCGTGAACTTAGAGCAAAGAGAAGCATAGAGTATCTACAATCAACATGATTTACTTAACTCTATATTTAATTTGTTGTCCATTGCATTTTATTCATAAAATTCAAAATTTTAGTCTATTATATCTATGCAGTATCATAGCAATGTAATAACAATGATGCAGTTTCGAATAAGACTCAACACGCTTGAAAAGTAACCCACAAAAAAAAAGGGTGGACAAACTGCATGAATTATACATTACAAAATTCCATTTATAAAATGATCACCAAATGAAGGAGAAAACTTCAACAGAAGTGTAGAATTCCCAAGATTTACACATAATTTTAAGCAATTTTCTCCCCCTCCCATCTTCTATTTCTATATAGAAGTTCTATTTCTAGTTTTCGATGTATTGAAGTTTGTGAATACATAAAATGTATACGAAAGAAACACAAGTGCAGACTTTTTGACATGAAAATAAACAAATCACACACCACATCAAGTATATACCTGCCTCGAAATTAGGCTTATTTTACAGTTCTTATTCTTGCCAAAGGAGCAGACTACAGAGAAAATCCTAATCAAGCCGTTAATGTTTAGGAAGTAATTAATCACAGAAAGAGCAAATGTCAGGCTGACAAATTATGCTTTGCAACAAGAATTATACTATTTCGCCAAAGACTTTATACTGTTGATGTTGATCAAAAGTCAATTAATAATGTGTACTTTTGTTGGCCAAACATGTAGAAAAGAGTTGGTCTACACTTAGACAGCTAAAATGATGAAATGATCTGATATCCTTAATTTGATCAAATCATTTCTATTGTCAAAATGTTTTTCTAGGAACTAACCAATAAAAAGTGACAAGGAGAAGATGTTATAGCAAATATTCACGAGGGAAGAAGCTAGAATATTAAAAGAAAATTAGATCATGACTTTAAAGACGCGTTTAGTACTCAATATTAAAAATAACTTCGAACATAATTTTAACTTTATTTATCTTTTTAATTACCTTCGCTGATGTCCATTTCAAAGTTTCAAAGTTTAAGGAGGTTTAACTTTTAAGCTGTATTTTGACTATTTTGTTAGAACTGAATCAAATCCTGCCACAGTCATTTATAAAAAGTGTGCTTATATTATTACTTTTAATTAAGAAATGAATCTCTTGTACACACGAGATGATATGTTGAAGATGGAATTTAAGTAAATATCTATAATCTTTCTCTATTAACTTAAGCTTTGAGATGAAATTAGCAATATATCATCAAAGTTCAAATGTACAAGTTGATCGGTTTCAAACTCAAATGAATGTAAAATTTCCCGATTACTCTTCCCTAATGAGCTGACAACCTTGGTATGAGATGTTATGCCTGAATACAAAAATAATAATCGATATATGAGAGTTTGGACTAATTATTCCTATTAAGAAATTTTAACCAAAGCCAAAAAAGATGTGATTGTTGCTCTTTTAGTCAATCAAGGCTAGAATAATACCGTTCATAGTAAGCAACTGTAGTGGTCATTCTTATATGATAGTTTGTTATTTGAAATATTAATTTATTTTTTTTAATTTTGTTGTCATAAATAACAAGCTAACGCTTCAAATAACAAGCTATCACATAAAGAAGATTACTGCAGTCGTTAACTATGAATAGCATTACTGTGCTAATATTTGTCTAGTTATCTTTATAGTTCTATTTATCTTGGTAAATGGTAGCTGTGGTTGTCAATTGCAGCATTTATTTTTTGCTAATCATTCAATTGTTAGAGGATTATTCCATAGCTAGCCTACAGAACTGATGTCTTCTTTGTGAGATTTGGCAGATTGATCCAACAAATTGAACTGCAGATGAGCTTAGAATTTAAGAACTAATTAAAAATATGGTGTTTTTGACTTAATTATATTACTCTCATGAACACGAACCAATCACAGATGCTAGATAAGTAATTTTCGAGATTAAAATTACTCTTGCCACATTTCTTAAATATATCTGAACTTAGAGCAAAAAGAAGCATAGAGCATCGACAACCAACATGATTTATTTAACTTTATATTTATTTTGTGTTATCCTATTGCATTTTATTCATAAATTCAAAATTTTAAAGTTCAAAGTATTTGATGACCTCTATTATATCTATGCAGTATCGCAGCAATATAATAAAACTTGTACAGTTTCAAATAAGACTAAACACGATTCAAAATTAACCAGGAAAAGTGGACAATCACCAAATGAAGGAGAAAATGTCAATAGAATTCCCAAGATTTACACGTAATCTTAAGAAATTTTCTTCCCCTCCTATCTTCTCTTTCTATACGGAAGTTTTATTACTAGTTTTCGATATACTGAAGTATGTGGATGTATATCTGTCGAAAAAAAACACAAGTGCAGAAGTTTTTACATGAAAATAAACAAATCACACCCCATATCAAATATAGCTGCCTCGAAATTAGGCTTATTTTACAGTTCTTATTCTTGCCAAATGAGCAGACTATAATAGAGAAAATCCTAATCAGGCGGTTCAGACTTCAGAAGCTGATGTACAGGAAGTAAATAATCACACAAAGAGCAAACCCTACAAACCCTAACATAATTTCCAAGAGCACAAACATTTCACACCCTTCTACATGGAGCAGAAATCAGACCAACCACGATAGAACATTCACAAGGCAAAAGTCTCATGACTTATCTCCAAACAGGTAACCGAGTGACGAATCTCCACCTGGTACCGACTTAACTTTAGTGGATGGACGATCCTAGCACACGCACAATGATCCGTGTTAATTTAAACATACAATTATGGAAATAATCTCAAAAAATGTAGAATTTCGAAATATCACAGAGAATATGGAAATATTTGAGAAGAAAAAAGTTTGATTGAATTTCTATTGGCTTGGAGTACCCCATTTTTTCTCTTCAAGCTTCTTAGTCTAATGAAAAGTGACCACTTTGGTTAAGGATTGGTGAGTATGATTTCCTCTCTCCAAATTAAAGAATTAGTGTAACATTTAGTCTACCCAAGGGGGAAAACAAGGGGTCAACAAGAAAGAACTACAGTAAAAGCTTTCTTGTGTGGTTAAATAATTAACTCACAGTGATGAAATTTCCTGAATTCTGACCCTGGACCCTTTGGTGGTTGTTGGTGACTCCTTTTTTTTCTTTAGGAGGAGGACTTTCTGGGGGCTTTTCATCGATGATATCGATTCCATAAGGCGGTGTACAAGCAGCAGGTGATGCCAATGGTGCATTGTTTTTTTGCTTATCATCGGAACCAAATAGGTAGCCTAAGGAACTCTGGCCACCTCCAGAGCTTTCACCTCTTTTCATTGTTGCCCCTTGGGATCTAATTCTTACCAGGAGTCTAAGAATAAGGAGGAGAAAATGAAGAGAGACCTCAAGTATATATATTGTGAAAATGACTTAAGACGTTACACGTCTACGGAATTCATTTATTTATTTATTTTCTTCAAAGCACCATTTAACGTTTAGAGACCATTTTTTCAGTTTCATATGTTGACAATTTTCATAAATAGGTAGCGGTACATAATATTTGAACTCATGACTTCTATGTACTCGATATTAAGTCACCTCTGAAATTCAAGAAAGCAAGTAGGGTTTTCACTTTTTGTCTCTTCAGATGCTGGTGCTATGTCGTGTTAAATTGGCCATCCAATGGATTTGAAACACAGTTTCACCAATATAGAAGTATCCAATGCCATTGTAGGGTTAAATTCATAGTTATATATTTTATATGTGATTAAATTAGGTACTAATCTTCCACTAAGAAAATGTGCAGAATCACATTAGGGCTTTTGTCTTGCAAGCGTTTTTAAACCATTTTAAATAATCATGTCATGTGTTAAGCAATATATTCTTTGAATAAATTATGCTATATATATAAATGTTAGTTATTAAATCCTTCGATGATAATCAACCCTTCTAACTTATATACGTCTTTTAATATATTAAGTACGGAATGTATTCTTATTTCGATTTCGCATGCTGGGTGTTGGGTTTGACAAAAAGTTAGAAAATAAATAATTAAAGGGCTCCAAATTACTTGTAATGTAGAGAGAGAGGACCAAAGAAATAAATATTGGACAAAGACACGGATACTAGTTGGGGGTTAAAAGGAAATTAAGGAAAACGAATCCTTTGACAATTAGAAGTGTTTGAAGGATTTAGAGTTGGAGAGTAAAAAAGAAAATTACATTTTCTTGGAGCCAGAGAGAAGGTATGCGCACAATATGTGTATTAGTTTTTATTAGAATTAGGGATACACACGACACATAGTACAAAGAACCACACACACCTGGGATGATGGGACCTAAAACTAAGTCGAGAGAAACTACACTATACATTTTGATGGAATATTTTTTTCTCAATAATGTGAAACGACATGATTTAATCAAGTTTGCGTTTTGTTTCAAAAAACAAAAGGCTGTGTCTCTACCTGGCTAAATATATTGCAAATCATTGTAAAATTGCAAAGATAGAATTGAAGCTTAGGGCCTATTTTCCAGTTTATTCCACTGATATTCTGGGTGGCACTATTCACCCAAAATAGACCCTCATAATTGCCTGAAATAGGTAATTTGAATAAACTTTGTAACTGGCACCTTTTAATACATTAAACTATGTTGTTCAAATGTCAAGTCTGTGTCTCTATCAAGCATTCCTTTCATATATAGCTACAGATGAGAATTCAATTTTTTAGGGTTGCTAAATTGCGTCAATAGTTCGCATTAACCGTTCATCGGGTAAATTGTTTCCGTCACAAAATCCTACCAAAAATTCAAAAGCTCAGCAATATGATAATATCTAGAAATATAGGTTATTAGTGGTGTGTGTATCAATTTTTAAACTCATTATGAACGGAAAATTTTGTTGGGTTAGGCATTGGTGGTGTCTCATCTCACGTAAAAATACAGGGAAAAGAAGTTAGTTTACTTAAAAAGGAGAGATAGTGGCTTTATTACGACCGATGCAAATTCAACAATTAATCCCTATTTGGTTCAGTTAAAAAAGTTGATTAAAATGTAATTAAAATTAAAAATTTGAAATCTGATTTTTATCTAAACTAAATGGTGGTCCTGAAATTTCGGTTAATGTTTCTTGGAAATTATCTAGGCTAAGGCTCCATTTGGGATTGTTTTCGAGCATAATTATAAAACTCGAACCAGACCGGCCGGTTCAGTCCAAAATCCGTTGAACCGGACCCAGTTCCGCTCCGAGTTTAATGAATTTATGGCTGAACAAACAACTCGCCATCCACCCTTTTGAACCACCGATTTTTAATAAAACATGTGTTCCACTTTTCCTTGACCTGACCGAGTCTTAATTAACCCATGTTTATTTGTCTTTCCACTTTCCCCATCCCCGTGTCTTCAAAAATTCTGAAACATTAGGGATTCTTGCAAAATCAAAAAGCTCAGCTGCCATCTCCAATCTCTTGCAATTCAACCACTCCCAAAAATGAAAAATCCAAATCTCCAATTTCAAATTTTAAGGGATGGAAGAATAGGTGTCTCTGTCATATGTATCTTGCTTAAAAAGCTCGACCAACTTCATTTTATACTCGGGATAATTTTTTTAAATCATAAATATATGATTTCTTCTTCTGTTAACTCCTATTATTGTTTAAATCGATTATAATAAGAAAATTATTGCTACCTTTAGTTGATTGATTGAGGTCATGAGAAATTGCAGCAAATATTGGAAAAAGAATCAAGAATGTAACTAGATTGATCAACTTAAAGGCGAGGTTCCAATGGCCAAACAATGGAAACGAGGATTTTATTATGACCGAGACTCCATCATTTGCACAAGGCGAAAATTGAAGAATTTATGTCCGAGACCCTAGCATGGATGTACTCAAACTCTTTTTAACTAAGAAAATATTGACTTATCTCAAATAATTTACTTTGTTAACATGTTCTTTATCAACAAATGACTTTTAAATGATAGTTTTGTTTTTGCAAGCATATTCTCATAGTATATGAAGCTATCTTGTTGAATTTTGTTAGATAAAGTAGTATTTTATCATTAATTGTTGTTTTCATTGTTTCATATGCATATTTGACCACATATGATTTAGAATCTATGAAATTTGGGATACATATTGATCTTTAGTTAATAAAATAATATGATGTTAATTTAGTTATTATTAGAGAATGGTAAAATCTTATTGTTCAATGAAAATAATTAATAATACATTTGACAGGAATTGATCCGCTAGTTGAATTATCGGGTCATTGGCTGAACTACTAATCCATTGACCCGCTGTATTGTCCGGGTCAGTGTTCGGGTCAAGTCTGACAACTATGCTTTCGAGTTCCAATATTATATCTTGTTCATGATAACAGTTCCATCCAAAAATTATATTAGAGAGATTAAAAATATTTATTTTTCCCTCTTATTTAAATAAGAAAGAATATATACAAAATTATTACTAAATATTTGTTCCTCATTGATGAGAATCATCATTAAAGACAAAATGGAAGGTTAAGGATAAAACTGCGATTAGAAAAAGTTAGGACATAAATCTGATAATATATAAAAACTATGAACAATTAATACCACTAAATTGTGTTGTATATATTTTAACCCATATAAAATTAATTACTTTTGTGTCATATGTTTGTTAGTATTCTACATTTTTTGATATTCTACAGTAATAAAGTCACATTCATCATTCAGGATTCTTCCACTTTTTTTTCTTGTCCATTATTTTGTAAATTTTAAGATTAATAATATTTTTTCTTTTAAAATAATATGGTAAATGTATTAATTTTAGATAGAAAATTAATAATACTAAAAGTTTGTTTGTCATAGCTTTGCTTTTACTTTTACGTAGAAGAAGAAAACGAGAAATAGAAGTCATGGCTTTCTAAATAGTGTGTGAAAACTAATTTTTAAAAGTGCCTTACGTTTTAGGAGAACTTTTATCTGTTTTGTACAGATTTGCTGCTACTATTATAACAATTTTAACCTTAATGCTAATAATGCATTGTTTTCACCATCAAAATAATTAAGATAATAACAATTCAGTTTTTTTCCTTTTTAGTTATGAACTGAATTATTAGTCATTGAAAAAAAAATTTATATATAAACCATGAATAAAGTTGGAATTTTTTTATTTGTTATCTAAAATTACACTTTACAAATGTAATTGATAATCTGAGAGTTTAGAAAGAATCGTCCTTCTCATGTTCATATAGAAGAGTTTCTGTAAAGTCATGCTCAATCCCTTTTTTTTTTTTTTTTAGCTAAAATGGTCTTTTAATTAGGCTAAAAATTTTCAAAAAATTATTCAAAGATGCTCAAAGCTACTTTTAGCTTTTCAAAAACCACACCAAATTATAGAAGTAAAAATAAATGCTACAATATTAATATTTGTGTATAGACACAATTAAGATTTTTTTTTTTTTATCAATTACTAAAATGCTTATCTTAAAATATATAATAATTCTGAAATAGAAGTTTATCAAGCACTTAAGTAAATGTTCCCGGAACTCAGCATAGCTAAAATTGATCATCTTAAAATATACAACAATATCCAACCAAGCCAAAGTTTATATTATAGCTGTTAAGTTTTGTCAATTATCCCGCAAATTGCCTAATTATTTCTTTTGTTGACTCACACAAACAGGAAAAGAGATTTACTTGTATAAGGAATCTCGTTGTAATAAATTAAAAGAAATATTATTCAAATTCTCATATTTCTTTCAGCATTCTATCTCTGTTATATCCTATTCGTACTTTCTGTTTTTTTTTTTTTT